CTGACGGACGTGGGTTACTGACCTGGTAGCCTGGCTGCCCCTGGGTGGGTCCGGGATGGGCGTGAGGTTCTGGGGCGCTCCGTCTCTGGGCTGGGGCCCGGGCCGGGCCTCGGGGGCTTGGGTCCTGGTTGGTGTGTTGCCGGGGTTGTGGGCGGGTGGGTGCTTGGGGGCCCACCCTGGAGCAGGGTGCCGCTGGTGCATCGAGCCACCTGGGGGGCTCTTCAACTGGTGGGGGAGATTGTCACATCTTGCAGGAGCTTTCCTCTCCTCGGGAGCTCCCTCTGCAGGAGGGGGAGATACAGGAGAGGTGGAGGAAGATCTCAGCCTGGGTGTTTATTGTCTTATGTAGTCTGGAAGATGAGTGGATGGTGGGGTGGGTGCAGTTTTCTCTGTGGTGGGGTTGGGTGGACTGTCCCGGGCTCTGTGGGCCGGGAGGCGCTGCGGCACTGGGCCCGGTCTGGATGGGCCTGGGCCCCTTTCCCTGGCGGGTCGCGGAGTATGGGGGTGCCTACTGGGGTCAGCGGGGGAGCTGGCCCCAGGGAGGGGTCACCTGCCCTCCCTTCCTTCCCTCCCCATCTCCAGCTGCCTCCCTCTTCCCGCTCCACCACAACCACCCACACATGCAGGGCCTTGGAGTAGGGGTATGTCACCAGGGTGCAGAGGAGGCTACCCCCCCCCCCCCCCCCCCCTGTCCCCTTCTGGCTGCCTCTGCCTCAATTTTATCCCACAACTTTCACGACATTCACATTACTCACACTCTCATTACACATACATGTAGGATCTTGGGGGTGGGCACGATACACGGAATCCAAAGTACCATCAGGGTGTACACCCCACCCCTGGCGTCGTTGCCCACCTCTCAAGGTTAAATACACGTAGACATTGAGGGCTAGCAGGAGGGACCATGCGCTTACCTGCTGCTCTCTGGCAGGTAGCTCCATGCCCTCCTGGGTTTTAAATGCACCTTAGAACACACATGCATCAACACTACAATGAGCGGGTGGAGGGAGGGTTGGAGTCTTCTCTCACCCCCGTTCTCTGCGACCTGCTGGAGCGGGGGGGCTAGGAGGAGGAGTTGGCCATCCGACTGCGGTCTGGAGTGTGGGGCCTCCCTGCTGCTGCGGAGTCGGGGCGGTCTGCCTCCCCCACCGCAGGGAAAAGGGTAACACCACCTGGGTCTGGGTGCAGTTCCCCCCTCCAGGGGCAAGGGTACCTAGACCCAGTTTGTAGAGTACGCTTGGGGAGTGTGATCGTGTGTCTGTCTCCACGTTGGTTGAGTGTGGAGTAAGTGCATATGAGAGCATGAGGGTGGGAATGGATGTTTGTATATGTGTGTGCCTGTATTTCTGTGTCTATATGTCAGGTTGGGTGTCAGGCGCCACCTCTCTGGGGACATCTCAGGCCCTCCAAGGTTTGGAGGCCTATCTCCCCTACCACCACTTCCCCTGCCAGTGGCGGACTCCCTCAGACATCGGTGCGTTGGTGGTTCTTTGTGTCCGGGGATGGGCGTCCAGGTACACACCGGCTCACTCCTTGGCGGCCGCTTATCGGGGCCTGGAGCCTGGGGCTCGCTCGGGCCACTTCGGAGGTGGGGTGCCCCCGGCCTCTCGGCCTGGGGCTCGGTCACTCAGGCACGGCTGGCTGCCGGCGGAGCTCACGGGCGCGTCACTGCAACTCCCCTGGCTTCTGCTCCGCGGCTGCTGAGTGAGCCCTCATCTGGGACTCTCCTCAGCTCTTTCTGGGACAGTGGCGCGGCTGCCCCTCTGTTGGTCTTCCTTGGTCTCTTGTGTTCTGGGGGCCTCTGGATGTCTGGAGTTTTGATCTCCTCCATACCTGCTTCATGCCCTGGAGGACGGGGCTGTGGCCCCCCCACACCCTCTAGCAAATCATTACATGAAGGAACCTTTTAAAAAAACAAGCGCGTCCATGCTCACAGGTGTACACACGGGTGATCATACCCACAAACTACACCCTTTTTGGCTCCTACTTCAAAGCACACTGTGTTCTGTTGATCTTATGTGCTGCACAATAATGTTTAATATTTAGTATTTACAGTCATATTCCCATGTATCATTGTGATGCTGTTTATTCTATTACTCTTGTTCTCTTCTGCTTGTTTTCTTTTTTTCTTTCTCAGCAGGTGATCCAGGTGATTGATATATGCATTTTTTATTTCTTTTTTTTTCTCTGCTCATTCTGTCGGTTTTTGTGTTTTGCCCTTCTCCCCCGTCCCTCTTCTCAGCTGTTTTTCTTTCCCTCTTTCTTTCTCCCCTTCTTTCCCCCAGTCAAGTCTGTCCCCTATTCAGTAAGTGAAAATAAAATAAACAATAAAAGGTGAATCAAATGGACCATTACGGCAAGGCTGGGATGGTCAATTTGGTAAAGTAAATCCGTTGGGCATCTTTCTTTGCCTTTAGACAATAATTCTGATGGCAAAAGAGCCAAACGGGACAGGCAAAAAAATAAATAAATAAATAAATTAATTAATTAATTAATTAATTAAAAAAAAAAATCCATGAATTCACATGGTAGGATTTGTAAAGAATTTATTCGTAAATTAGGGTGGAAAATAAGTATTTGGTCACCTCAAACAAGGAAAATCTCTGGCTCTCACAGACCTGTAACGTCTTCTGTAAGAAGCTTTTCTGTCCCCCACTCGTTACCTGTATGAATGGCACCTGTTTGAACTCATCATCTGTATAAAAGACACCTGTCCACAGCCTCAAACAGTCAGACTCCAAACTCCGCCATGGCCAAGACCAAAGAGCTTTCGAAGGACACCAGGAAAAGTATTGTAGACCTGCACCAGACTGGGAAGAGTGAATCTACAATAGGCAAGCAGCTTGGTGTGAAAAAATCAACTGTGGGAGCAATCATCAGAAAATGGAAGACATACAAGACCACTGATAATCTCCCTCGATCTGGGGCTCCACGCAAGATCTCATCCCGTGGGGTCAAAATGATCATGAGAACGGTGAGCAAAGATCCCAGAACCACATGGGGGGACCTGGTGAATGACCTGCAGAGAGCTGGGACCAAAGTAACAAAGGTCACCATCAGTAACACACTACAACGGCAGGGAATCAAATCCCGCAGTGCCAGACGTGTTCCGCTGCTGAAGCCAGTGCATGTCCAGGCCCGTCTGAAGTTTGCCAGAGAGCACATGGATGATACAGCAGAGGATTGGGAGAATGTCATGTGGTCAGATGAAACCAAAGTAGAACTTTTTGGTATAAACTCAACTCGTCGTGTTTGGAGGAAGAAGAATACTGAGTTGCATCCCAAGAACACCATACCTACTGTGAAGCATGGGGGTGGAAACATCATGCTATGGGGCTGTTTTTCTGCCAAGGGGACAGGACGACTGATCCGTGTTAAGGACAGAATGAATGGGGCCATGTATCGTGAGATTTTGAGCCAAAACCTCCTTCCATCAGTGAGAACTTTGAAGATGAAACGAGGCTGGGTCTTCCAACATGACAATGATCCAAAACACACCGCCCGGGCAACAAAGGAGTGGCTCCGTAAGAAGCATTTGAAAGTCCTGGAGTGGCCTAGCCAGTCTCCAGACCTCAACCCCATAGAAAATCTGTGGCGGGAGTTGAAAGTCCGTGTTGCTCGGCGACAGCCCCAAAACATCACTGCTCTCGAGAAGATCTGCATGGAGGAATGGGCCAAAATACCAGCTACTGTGTGTGCAAACCTGGTAAAGACCTATAGTAAACGTTTGACCTCTGTTATTGCCAACAAAGGTTATGTTACAAAGTATTGAGTTGTATTTTTGTTATTGACCAAATACTTATTTTCCACCCTGATTTACGAATAAATTCTTTACAAATCCTACCATGTGAATTCATGGATTTTTTTTTCACATTCTGTCTCTCACAGTTGAAGTGTACCTCTGGTGCAAATTACTGACCTCTGTCATCATTTTAGGTGGGGGAACTTGCACAATCAGTGGCTGACTAAATACTTTTTTGCCCCACTGTATACATTTTTCCCTATATGAAGTAATTCTTTTTTGAGCAAAAAACACAACAAAACAGAGCCTATTACTCTCTGTTTTACTCTCTCATTCTAGTCTAAACAACAGTGTCTCAGTAACTTTCCACTAGAGATGGTCCCCACTTATCTGCATTTTCCAAAGCAAGCGTGAGCCAGAGTCTGCAGCTTTCTACTCCCCAAGGACACATGGTCTAATGCCTTTATTTTTCAGGGCTCTGTCCACTCAATACTACACTATATAACTTTATTAACAAAAAGCATAGCATTATTGAGGCACTGCAAATTATTTAATTCTAACAGTCCCTCCTTTGATCTGCCCCATGGCAGATCAACACTATTAAAAGCCATCAAGCATCATCATGTCTGCTCATGTCCGATCCCCAATAGCCCTGTTTTCCAATAATCCTCGGATAGACCACAAATTACCCAAATAGCTGTAAGTATGAATAAGGAAACCCCAATAAACCTAATACACACTTTCCTGTTCTGGTGTCTTGGGTAAACCACGGCCTGAAGCCTGCCCTGGGGTCCTGCCCTCCTTTTCAGGCTGTTTGCGACCATTGCTGCTGCTGCTCACAGTGCTGTCCATCCTGGCTCTGGCCCCAGTTGGGGCAGTCCTCTCTCCAGTGTCCATGCTCACTGAGGTGAAACCTGCATCGTGTTCTGTATTTTGTCTGTATTTTCTGTATAACTTGTATATTTTATAGTGAAATGCCATCTTGCCATCATCTTAGTGGTAGCAATGAAAAGCAGTTAAGTATTGATAATCAAACAAGGGGAAAAACGCTGGCTTTCAAATAGCTTTCTGTTAATGCTTGTAATAAATAAAAGTATTTAGTTAGAGCACTAACAAAATTCTCCAAACAAAACAAACTTCAGGCCCATAGTTGTCTGCAGTTTTTGTGACCTTTTGAATGAATGTTAAACATAAACCATTGCAGCTTCTTCAGTCTGTTAAAAAGCCTTGACCCTGGAACACGAACCTTTTACCAGTCATGGAAAGTTTTATTACATTTGTGTAAATTATTGTCAACAATAACTCTAATGAAACTTTGAAATCCTGAGTTCTTTCTTTTGATATTATTGTAGCATCCCCGGTTGAAAATGGTTCACAATCCTTTTATTAAACAGCCGTGTATGTGAACACACCGTAAGAGCTACAACATACAGAATAAAAGACTATTAGTAAATCAAACAGTGTGTTACCTTTAACCTTTTGACTTATTCATTAATCACAAATTAATTCTCCTTACCTTACATAACAAATAACACTAAAACTTGTAAATTATTGCATATAACAGGGAAATCGTTGCATCGCTGCCTAAACATGACGAGGTACGTTAGCGCCCTCTAGTGGGTGAAAACTTAGCCTTTATGCTTAGTAGCGGTCAGCAGCTATATGCTCCGTAAAACAACCAAATACATATCTACAGGACAAATTTTGTTACAAACCTTGTTCCCTCATCAACCAGGTGCTAAGAAACTGCTTTCGACTCAGTGTTGCACCTTAATAGCCGTTCTTTTTCCCATTCCCGTCCATTAACCATAGAGCACACCACCTCTCTGTGCATTAAAACTCGCGCTTCTGCTATATAGTTTACGCCACTTAATTTACGTCACCTTGTCGCTCTGTGACTTTCAAAATAAAAGCATCCGCTCCAACAATATAATAGTCACTCATAACTTTACAAAACACTTTACAAAATATTAATGAGGTCATTTACAATTATTGCCATCTTCATGCTCCTCCTCAGCGAATAACCTTTTTTCATTTGTTCATACAAACCTCTGTTCCTCATGTGTGAAAAAAGGGAAAAAAATCGACAGAATTTTATGTTCCAAATAAACCAAAGATTGAAAAATCCTAAACATGTCCAGAGTCAGAATAGTCTGTAGAATCCTCTCTGAATTTGTGAGGTGAAAGTTTTGTTTTGTTCCTGATGTTTCCAGTTTTTTCTTAGTTTGACTGCTCACATCCATGGGTCCATTGTGTTTTAAGCCAATCCATGATCTTCGTTTAAACCTAATCCATCATGCTCAAACCTAACCAAGTAGATCTACAATTGCTAAACCTTATAGTAGTGGTAGTAGTAGTCTCAAAGTTAGTTTCACACTTTACATTCTTCTCTCAGAAAAATGAGAAAATTCTTGTAATGAAAAAATAGGATTAAATAAGATTAAGATTAAATATTGTGACTGTCTCACAAACTGCCGTGAGACTGAGTTGGCTGGTCAGGGCAGATCCAGCATGCCTCGCTCGGCCAGAAGCTGCTGAGTTCGTGTGTGCACCAGCATCAGGGCGTCGATGATGATGCGCAGGATGGGCGTAGCCTCCTGCTGGTTCTGCACACACACCAGCTGCAGAAAGTACTGTCTGTTGGGAAGGGCGAGGAAGACAAATTCTGCTGCCTGCCGGAGCACCCAGGGGTGGTGTGGGGCCAGCGCCACCTTGTAGGCATCCCTGAACGGATAATAGTATGTATGTTAGTCAGTTTTTACTCTAAACATGAGAGTTTGAGTCTGTCTGAGTACTTAAAAACAGACTGGTGGGGTTACCTGCTCAGCTCCCCCGGCGTTTTGTATTGTCCATTTTCATTCGGTCCTTCAGCCAAACCCTCCAACATTAGCTTCAGCCAGAGGAGGGAACGGTGCAGCCGGAGCAGCGTCCTGCAGCCTGAGTCTGTGCGGTACGAGAAGTTTACCATATCCGCTCTCAACTCCGCCTCCATCATGGATCTAACAGAACGATACGCCTCCAGAGAAAAATAAAACCGAAAATGACAGTGTCACAGTGTGATGCCAGGATTTTGTGAACTTTGACCTCACTATTTCTTCAGGAATGTCTTTGTTACCATTTAAAAACATCAACAATAAACCAAAATGTTAAAAAAAAACAAACAAGAAAATTCACATTTCTTTTTTGGCAGGTATACTAGAACATGGTTTGTGTTAGATGAAAATTTCACACAGTAATCCTCAAACTCACCCCTGTTTTTAATCCAAATGCTTCTGGGGTTTGTAGTCCAGCGGGTTTCCCATTAGCCTCTGCACTGTGTCTGAGTGACAGCTCTCGAATCAGCACAACCTTTTCTTGCACCTTCTGAGAGAAGAAACTGACCATCGGCCCAAGCGACTCCATGAACCTGAGGGCAAAAACATTGATGAGACCCTTCTGTGAAGATAACATGAGTGCTGTGAGAATCAGCTTTCACAGATTTTAGTATTTTTTAAAACTTTTTGTTTTTCCCTGCATCGTCATTTTTAATTTTGGACCTTGGTTTTATGTTAAATTAGTCAATCAAGAGCACATACCTAGAAAACATGCCCCTGTGAGACCACAGTGGGTAGCTGTGGGTAAACTCTGGGGATGTGTGGGTAAGACAACCCAACACTTGTCCAATGCACCCCCCAATGAGTGTGCCCGCACTGGGCTTGCCCATAGAAACATGTGGTGAGTTAAAGCTAACATGTTTTGTCTGATTGATTTTTAAACCCAGAAATGTTACATTTATTAGCATAAAATCAGATAGATGGACAGATAGATAGCTACTGTCCCCAATGGTGGATACTCACATGAAGCATGGCCAAAGTTTTAAACAATGACATCAGCACAAGTAGCTGCCGTAAGCCAAAATCTCAAACTGCTCTAAACACTTGTTTTCTGTGGGATTTCCTTAAATGATCACTTGTGAGCCTTGAAGCCACACCCACAATAAACTTTTCACATTACAGGGAGTGCAGAATTATTAGGCAAATGAGTATTTTGTCCACATCATCCTCTTCATGCATGTTGTCTTACTCCAAGCTGTATAGGCTCGAAAGCCTACTACCAATTAAGCATATTAGGTGATGTGCATCTCTGTAATGAGAAGGGGTGTGGTCTAATGACATCAACACCCTATATCAGGTGTGCATAATTATTAGGCAACTTCCTTTCCTTTGGCAAAATGGGTCAAACGAAGGACTTGACAGGCTCAGAAAAGTCAAAAATAGTGAGATATCTTGCAGAGGGATGCAGCAGTCTCAAAATTGCAAAGCTTCTGAAGCGTGATCATCGAACAATCAAGCGTTTCATTCAAAATAGTCAACAGGGTCGCAAGAAGCGTGTGGAAAAACCAAGGCGCAAAATAACTACCCATGAACTGAGAAAAGTCAAGCGTGCAGCTGCCAAGATGCCACTTGCCACCAGTTTGGCCATATTTCAGAGCTGCAACATCACTGGAGTGCCCAAAAGCACAAGGTGTGCAATACTCAGAGACATGGCCAAGGTAAGAAAGGCTGAAAGACGACCACCACTGAACAAGACACACAAGCTGAAACGTCAAGACTGGGCCAAGAAATATCTCAAGACTGGTTTTTCTAAGGTTTTATGGACTGATGAAATGAGAGTGAGTCTTGATGGGTTAGATGGATGGGCCCGTGGCTGGATTGGGAAAGGGCAGAGAGCTCCAGTCCGACTCAGACGCCAGCAAGGTGGAGGTGGAGTACTGGTTTGGGCTGGTATCATCAAATATGAGCTTGTGGGGCCTTTTCGGGTTGAGGATGGAGTCAAGCTCAACTCCCAGTCCTACTGCCAGTTTCTGGAAGACACCTTCTTCAAGCAGTGGTACAGGAAGAAGTCTGCATCCTTCAAGAAAAACATGATTTCCATGCAGGACAATGCTCCATCACACGCGTCCAAGTACTCCACAGCGTGGCTGGCAAGAAAGGGTATAAAAGAAGAAAAACTAATGACATGGCCACCTTGTTCACCTGATCTGAACCCCATTGAGAACCTGTGGTCCATCATCAAATGTGAGATTTACAAGGAGGGAAAACAGTACACCTCTCTGAACAGTGTCTGGGAGGCTGTGGTTGCTGCTGCACGCAATGTTGATGGTGAACAGATCAAAACACTGACAGAATCCATGGATGGCAGGCTTTTGAGTGTCCTTGCAAAGAAAGGTGGCTATATTGGTCGCTGATTTGTTTTTGTTTTGTTTTTGAATGTCAGAAATGTATATTTGTGAATGTGGAGATGTTATATTGGTTTCACTGGTAAAAATAAATAATTGAAATGGGTATATATTTGTTTTTTGTTAAGTTGCCTAATAATTATGCACAGTAATAGTCACCTGCACACACAGATATCCCCCTAAAATAGCTAAAACTAAAAATTACTTCCAAAAACATTCAGCTTTGATATTAATGAGTTTTTTGGGTTCATTGAGAACATGGTTGTTGTTCAATAATAAAATTATTCCTCAAAAATACAACTTGCCTAATAATTCTGCACTCCCTATATATTGTGATATAGCTCTATTTTTATTTTGCCTGGGTGGCAAAATACGCTTCCGTACTAAAAGGCCTAAAGTAAAACAAAAAGGACACTTTTTTTCAACTGTGAATCATGCAAAGTCAAAGAATAAGAGTAATAATACTGTCGAGCTGTTTGTGTACTTCAGCAGCTGGTCCCAGCTCTTCAGATATGGCTCCAGCAGGATATCTTCGTTGTTTGCCAGGCTGGATTTCAGGTACAGCAGCAGATGTGAAGCCTGAAATGACTGGCCAGGGCACTCCTTTACGAGGGACAGGGCTCCATCTGGCTCCGCCCACTGCTCAGGGGCCCATGGAGGCTCCGGCTAAAAGAGAGAAACTTTTTTTTTACTAAACAACAAGATAGTTACTGTTATCATGATCATGTTAGTTTCTCTTTGTTTCTCTTCTTCATTTCTAGTCTCTTCATGATAGACTTTGTATTTGCGTTCACATGTCCTTAGTCAGTTTTAATAATTTAATTAAAAATATAGCATTATATATATTATTAAATATCATTCAAACCGTTCTAGTTTAACTAAAACTATTAACTTTAGGTGAAGTATTGACTAATTTTATGTTCAAACATTTTGTTGAAGAGATATTAATCGAAACTCTCCTATGGCAGGCTGTACTTTCCAGCAGTACCAGTTTGTACTGCATGATGGTGCAGCAAGTCATTGTTAGCTTTATTTCACCAGGTATGTCTTAAAACAGACATTTGTATTCATACAGGTGTTCTGGAAAAACAAAACAACAGTCCTCTAAGAAAAATTTGATTGGATCACTCAGAAGAGCTTTTTAAAGGTTTAGATTTTTTGTGAACATTACAGGTTTTTATTTATTGTGCAACTTACATGTATATAAGTGGAATTAATCTTACCTTCTGGTGGTAAAAACTCAAACATGGCTGCCAGGGGCTGCCACAGTCCCGGACTCCACCCTGGGCTGAAACAAACAGATGACAAACCAACCAAACAAAACTCTGGTTAGACAAATAAGATGCAAACCTCATCAGCTGTGACTCATAATAATTGCAGAGTTAATATATTAAATGATTGCATTTGGTAATAAAGTTGGTTAAAAAGAAGCAATGTTCAGTTAACATTATTAACTTTAGGATTTCTGGTAATGTAGTTTTGATTTTAGAGTTCATCATATGTTTATCAATGTAAAATAAAAATATAAAAGTAGCTAGTGCAGTGCTTCCAAACTCTAAAAATCTAATGTGCGTTATTCTTACTTTTTTTTTAAATTTATTTTGGGACTCGTAGAGTAGCTCTGTTATTTATACTGGGCTTTTATACAGCCCAACTTACACAATGAGCTCACTTTCTTTTGACTGGCCAAATTCTGGAAGCCTGCTGAGGGGCAGCTGAAGTCCGCTGAAGTCTAGTTTTCTCTCTGTCCACACTTTTTCTAAGTAGCAGGGTATTTTAGGCTGATAAAAAGCTAGGAAGACAGCTTTACCGGATAAAATTGTAAGTTAACATGAGCTTATCTGTAGAACATGTTATCATAAACAAGTGAGTTAAGATTAGCTTGCTAGGGTTAGGGGGTACCTTAACTCACTTGCTAACATTGATGCTAAAATTACTTTATGAAGCCTTACTAACGTGATTATTTACTGAGGGTTATTTTTCCCCCCATAAAAAGTAAGCCAGGCAGGCGTTTATCAGATCAGTGATTCTGGCTGATATCAGCAAACATTAGCTTACCTGATACCAATAATATCAGGTAAGCACTTACTGACTAACCTTAGCTTGCTTGCTAATGCAAATGATACAAAAACAAAGCAACAAAACCAAACACAAACTATCTCGAGCCTCCCTAAAAACTCACCTTCACCTGATTGGCCAACTTCTGGAAACCTGTTGAGGGGAAGCACCCAGTGCTTTGTAAACTTAAACAGAGTCTAGGAGTGAATTTTTGCTTCCCGAGGTTGAATTTATATACTTTCAACTCAATATTTGATACTTTGACCATATAAAATGTATGGTCTTTCATATATCTGTATCTAGTTATTTATGACAGAATAAGCAGAATAGATCATCTTTAAGTGTCTTAACACTACTTGAGCAAATATACTTTGTTACAGTCTATGGTAGAAAATAACTGAGAGTTGGAACCAACAGTGACGAAGGAAACTCACGCAGCCAGAAAGAGCTGATGAAGAGGAGCAGAGCCAACATGGCCGACAGCAGCACGTAACGAAGCAGCGGTGTCCGTCTGAGGAAAACCATGGTGACCAAAACACACATACACGCACACACACACACACACACACACACAATCAGCCAAACCACACAGATTTGCCTGGGATCCTCACTTTTTTCTCACACAAATTAAAACACGCACACATCATCTACCGTTACTTCATACCATGCTCTCACTATTAGTCACTCTCTCGGGATCAAAGGTCGCTCACTCCCACAGGTGTAAACACACGGGGACAACCTTTGCTCCTGACCTTCTTTGTGTAGCAGCTTATCTTAGCCCATTTTATCTTAACCGCATGTCATCCGCAGAGCTTTGCTGACTGAAACCTGCACTGATCAGACCTCACAGAGACAGTTTTTTTATACACTGATTGGATCTTTTTGCAACAAAAAAAAAAAAACCATCAACGCTGACCAGGTGATATTTGTGTATCTCGGAAGCTGCAGAGGAAGCTGGTGGTTCTCAATGTCTTTTACGGCAATTATACTCACCGTTCTTGCCCTTGGTACAACAGTGCTGTATGGCAGTTCCAAATGGATATGGTTGTGTGACGACACCACTCCTCGTGCCCAAAGCAATCAATGTGGTGGGTATAATGTGGCCCACATTTAATCTTCAAAAAGCTGTTACTATGAATGACCCCTGTGGCTGTTAATTGAACTGCAGGCAGCGAGCTGCTATCACCCACAACATCCACTTACAACGTATTACTACTCTATACTGTATGTCATGAGTGTTGTACAGCAGCTGAAAAGGCAGCACATATTAAGGTTTTGCTGTTACATGACTTAAACCTGCCAGTTACAAAGGCCTAGTAACCAGTTAGTGACCCCCTTCCAAGATGGGCATTCCCCTCCTGGCTGGCGAAAACCATCTTGCGATTGCTTTGGTTGCTAGCAGTTTGCCATGGTCACCTGAATATTGTATGGAAGATGCCAGCTTGTTCCGAAACACTCGCTAACAACTCACCGAGCTGTAGGAAGCTTGCAAACCAGAATCGGAGACAATGCAGAGGCATAACTTTTACTTTTAGAGTCCTCTATTTCCAATTTCCATTTCACTTTTTCTAACTTCACTAGAGCTCAAAATACAGAACAGCTGCTTGCCCATAGTTTGCATTTTCCACACACTTGTTTGGGCAACCAAACCAACAAGAATGAGGGTTTTGGTGCAGCACTGTACACCTCTTTGCAACCAGTCTCCCCTTGTAACTACTGGTAACCAGTCACCAATAGGTCAGGAAATATAAACTTTTCTCTATTTTGGAAGTGATTCTGTAAGCCTCAGCAAATGTAACTTTAGTAACAGGTCTCAACCTCCAGGAATCACTTGGCAAATACAGTAGACCCCCAGAATTCACGAGGGTTACATTCCTAGAGCACGCATGAATTGTTGAAAACCATGAATTTTGGATATGGTAAAAAAATGCTAATGTTGTCAATAAATGCCTATTTTTTTTATAGTTTAAACAGTTTAAAGATTCGGCAGGGGGTTCTGCAAACAATTATCGGTTAGGTTCTAAGCAAAAATCCCCAAATGACTGAGTCCACAAACACTGAGCCATGACTTCTCAGGGGTGGATTGCAAACAATTTGCCCTCACAACCCCTGATCTTTAAGCCTGTGCGACTGGGACCTAAATCCTGTGTGCAGCCACATCAGGTTTTATTTTTGTGTTCAAACGTCACATCCTTAGATCCTTTAGATTTCCATCTCACGTTCATCAGACAGGAATGAGTCCAAAGGCTGTTTGAGGTAACTGAGAGACTCAAGGAACATTTTTATTTTTAAGTGGAAATACAAAGTGTTTCACATGTGACAAAGCATTGCATAGGGCACAATTAAGGACAGCAGATTCCAGTCCAACATTAGAAACAGAAACCTTTGATTGTAGAAGACGAACATATCTTGATTGTTTTACAACATAATTAATCAAGAGGAGACACAAACCTGATGAGGAAGTGATTTATTGATGGGGAAACCACACAGGTAGCATCTGCAGCTTCTAGGGGTTGCTAAAAGACACATTTTTTTATCAACACATCTGCAGGTCTCACTGACAGGTTGATTCGACTGATGTCTTTGGTGCATTATTCAATGCGCCCTGCTTGCTTGTGCAAAAAGTCTTTGTGCATATGTGGGTTCTTGTGCTTATATTTAAGGTAAAAATAATGAACAAGGGTTCTGTTAAAACTTGAGGTAAGACTAAAGGTTATGATTACTTCAATACAACAAGTATGGCTCTTATTTGCGGAACAACGATGTTCTGTTTGATAAGGGTAAATAAAGGTTTATTAGAGGTGCCTCAACTTTGTTGAGGTCTGAGTTATTGCAAAAATAGAGATGAATAAAAGTTAAAGGGCTCTAAGATTCGTGAGGAGAAAGAGTGCTAAAAAAAGAGGTCACTATGGTAGAAAAAGTTCTTATTCACACTTTTAAGTAAAAGTTAAAGGATCAAGATTTTAGTTTGAGGTCTTGCCTTCCCATTTCACTCAATGAGTGACTCATACAATTATTTTAAGTCTTATTTTTAATGTTAGAAGCTGTTCATAATATAAAAAAAAAAAAGACCTGCAGGAAAATTAAAGCTTAAGAAAATATGAAACCTCAGATGTACTTTTTGAGTTTTAGTCTTTTGGAGTGAGCAGGGGTTAGCCTGCTTTAGCCTGATTGCCACTTAGTCTGTCCTATTTGTATTATTAATAGATTTTAAAAGCTTTAAGATGACCTCGATTAGCCCAGTCTCATTCTCAGAGTTCCAAATACTGCCATGTTTCTTAGCCAGTGGCATCTCAAAGATAAAATGAAAATTGGTGTTTGTTCTTCATGTATCGACGCTTGTGAAGGGCCCTTTCGTATCATGCCATTTAAACATAATTTTTTAACATAAGGCCATACTTATTGCTAGGGCTGTTCGATATAACGATATATATCGGATGACGATATAAAAACGTTTCATTTTACGCTATCGTTTGTTTCATGGTGTCGCAAAATAAACTGTTTACGGCAATATTTTTTCATGGTTTTGATGGTCACTGTAGTGGCTATATTAATTTCTTAAAGTTTTCTCTTTCTCTTATATTTAATATAACCACACTACGGACGGACAAGCGTCTCTTTTTATGGGTTGTCGTTAGCAACAACGATGGTAAAACCATCGCATGTCCGCTTGTTTATTTTCCACATAAACCTTTCACAATAAAGCTCAAGATCCTATTGAGGCTTTTCAAAATAAACGGAATCACGTGAAAGATGCAGAGTATTGACGGATGAGAAGCAAAAAAAGAGCCGTCAGGTGCTAAAAAATAAACCTTAGACTCAAACGTTAGAACAGGCTTTTCCCCGCAGCACGCCGTGTAATAAATACAAAGAAAACGGCGGCCTTTACAACTTATGTCTAAAAATGTGTAGTTTCATGCATCGGTTAAAACACTCAACTCCAGGTACAAGATGCCCAGCTGGAAACACTTCACCTACCCGAGATTCACAGAATTTACAGAAAATATTACATTTTTTGTGATTTATATCGTTATCGGACGATAGATGTTTTATATCGGGATATGAGATTTTGGTCATATCGCACAGCCCTACTTATTGCCTTTAAAAAAAAACCAAACAAACTTGACCAAGTAGTTTTCCGTGCCTACAGCTAACTAATTTCTTTTAGCAGCCCCATTTCCTTGAGAGGTTTTTTTTTTTCTTATATAACTTTAATCATTTTTCTGGTTAAAAAAGTCTCCACTGAGTCGCTGCACTCTCTTTGGGTATACAGTGGTATTACACCAAACTACTGCTTTTTCTTTAACACAGTGTTTAGTTCTGTTGAGCTTTTCAGCTTTAATTTGATTTTGAAGGATTTAAACAATTTTTGAAATAAGTAGCTTTAAAAGAGGACTGTTAGATATGTCAGGACAATCAAGCCAAAGGAAACCTATCAATAGGACAACAGCAGCATCAGATAGAGTGGCAGTATTTGACGCCATGGGACTTGACTGCTTTGCATGGGTTTAGCACAGATATTAAGGGATAAGTATGGTTTATTTTAGCCTAAATTCCTAAAAACACATTAAATACCTTTTATTCTTTTTCTTTTTTTTTTTCAATAAATCAAGCTACAGGTAGCCTATTTCCTCAAAAAACAGTTTCATAAACAGTTTGGGCCAGTGTGTAGTAAATATTGCACACATTAGTTCAGGGAAAGATTAATGGCTTCAGGTAAAAAAAAACAAACACAAAACCCAGATTTAGACGTTCTCACGTATAAAAGAAAGCAGTTTGCGCTGAGGTCAGGAGAAACTGTCGGCTTTAACCTGCAGGACGTCACTCACACCAGGACGCGTCTGAAGAACCTGAAGGGGCACAAAAATGACAACATGAAGGTGGTCTGTGCTTAAAGTCTCTCTGAGTTTTAAAGCTGACCTAAAAAAAACTTCCTCTCCAGTTAAGTCGTCCAGAGTTGGGTTTATTTAAAGGAAATTAGATCCTTGGTAAATCCAACCATGACCATTTACAGATTTACAGGAAAATACAAAAACATTGTGGTTAAGTAGTACAAGCATGTTCTGACCACTGAGTTTGACGTTGTGGGATTGCATTTGTACAGATTTGTATGCCTGCACCGTTATACGGATATATCCTGAATTGGTCAGAGGGTTTCTGTCTGTAGACAGTTTGTCACAAATGTCCGAAAATCACACGAGTGCAGAGTGAACTGATGCACTCTGCTTGTTGAAAGCACACTTCCAGAAGTATTTTGAGAGCTTGAAAAACTTGTAGAACTGCTTCTGCAGTTCTAAAAACAAAGCAAGTTGTAAAGTGACTGTCAGTGATGTCAGTTGTTTGTGATGTTTGTGATGATTTATTAAGTATTCATGAAGCCGATAGTGACCAAAGTGTTTTTGTCTTTGAGCAATTCAGAGCGGGGTTTATTTATGACTGGCACGTCTCAGGCACATCATTCCAAGAAAAACATTAAACCCAAGTCCAGAGCTTTGCAGACCCATGTTGTAGCTATGTACAGTCACCAGGGGGCAGTGTCAGGAACTTGTGGGACAAGCAGCAAATGTGAGCTACTCTTGTTTATATTTGTGTTTTATTTGATGTTTTAATGTTTCATGTTAAACATAAGTGAAGTACATTTGAGGGGAACTATTCTGCTAATTTACTGTTCCACATTTTTATTCTAGATGAGCTTTTAGTGATTCACAGTTAAAAATAATCCTTCTTTGTCTTATACTTGGCTTTTTTGTAGTTCCTCAAGGGTGATTGATCATATTTGTGGAGCCTGCTGAGGAGCAGCTGATTTAGCCCCCTGCCCATAAGCCCAGTCTTATTTTCTCTCAGTGCACACTTTACATTGAAATAAATATTTGTCTGCTTGTCCTGACAGCCAATCAAAGAGCAGTATTTATAACTCACCTTCAGTGTACTGAGAATCTCTCCAAACAGATGTTGTGCTTCCTCAGTGTCCGGTTCTTCAAAGTAATCTGACGCAGAGACCTCGACAATGATTGACCTGATGTTCTCACACTCACCTGCACAGGTACACAGAGGAGTCATCAGCAATCATTGATTAATAATAATCTCACATTTCTGTGTTGCCTTCAGTTACAGAGACTCACTGTGGAAGTGCAGGATGGCCTGACCGCTCACGGGTGTGTGTGTCAAGATCAACGTCTGCAGGTTCTTCTTCAGTCCAGCCTTACACAGCTCTGTCGCCGCCTGCAGGCCGAGGTCAGTAATACGCTCCAACTCCAGCACCTGTAGCTGAGCACAGTTGCGTACTGCACACAAAACACACAACAAAAAAAACCCCACACAGCTAATGGTATAATGCATTGTATTTTTACACCAAAATAAACTGTAACTTTACAGTTACTACGGATTTAATCTGTACAAGCATGTAGGAGAAGAAACAAAAATGTCAATAACCATATTTTTCACTGACCAGCAGCAACCAACCCCTGAGTCCCACAGCCAGCTCCGCCCACACTGAGAGAGCGGAGGTGTGGCCAGCAACGGCCAATTGTCTGCAAGCAGCGGTTACCAAAACGAGTTGGCTGTTGGCTGGAAATATTGAAGAGAGAAAAAGACTGGTGTCAAGGTGACTCAAATCTGGTCATTTGTTCCTGCACTCTAGACTGGATTCACAGCAGACAGGACAGGAATTTTTTTTTTTTTTTAGAAAAAGGGAAACAGATTTGTTGTTTTTCAGTATGGAGCTATCACAGTGGACTGTGTGTGTGTGTACTAACCAGGGATGAGCAGGCGCCACCTGCAGGCTGGTGATGCTCCTGCATCCAGCACCCAAAGCCCAGAGAACCTCCTGACCGAGAGGATCTGATGAACTCCTGCAGAGGACCAGACAGACAGTCGAGTAAGCGGACAGACAGTTGAAGAAGGGGACAGGTAAACAGCCTCACCTGTATGTGAGCATCTGCAGGTTCCTGCTGTAGCAGCTGGCCAGCCACAGGGTCCTATCGGTGAGGATGTGGGGACACTGAGAGATAGACAGGTGGAGCAAGCTGCCCCCTGCTGACCGCAGCAGGGCCTCCACCCCGGGCTCCACACTCCCTCTGATTGACACACAAACAGACGTATGCCAACTACAGTACCCACAATCCACTCAGAGGACAGCTTTCTTCTCTTGTAACGTCTCAGAAACCTGTTAATGCACTGAGCACTGACCAATCAGATAACAGCTGCGTTACCATGACAACATGCATTTCAAAAAGATAAGAAAAGCTTGTACATTTCCTCGGTAGCAGCATTAATCCTTGAGAGCGGTGTGTGTTTGTGGGCTTGGATTTTTGATTTTGTAGGGACACAACTCACACAGTCACACTGTGGGGACAAAAATTAATCCTCAAAATGTAAATAATTAGGTTTGAATGAGGGCTTGAATAGTGGCATTGTAAAGCGCTTTGGGTGGCTTGAAAAGCGCTATATAAATCCAATCCATTATTATTATTATTGACTCAGTGGTTATTTTTGGTTTAAATCATCACCGTCTGGACATTTTGGCTTGCCAGTAACATTAAAGACTTAACCTATGCTTGGGCTACAACCAGGGCCCTCAGAAGTACAGAAAGTCAAACCTTGAGTTTAATTTACCGTATGTTTCTGTGGTAATCCTCTCGCGTCTCGTTGGCTCGACGACTTCGAGGCTTCAGGTTGCTGAGCACCACGGCCTGAGTTTGAGTGCACCACTGTGACAGCGTCGTCAGGAACTACACACAAAGAAAAACATTTTAAATGTGAAAATAAACATTTTAAAGTATAAACCTAATAATTCCTGCATTTTTTCCCTGACAACATCTTTCATGTAGTCGCTCTGCCACACAGTTTAATACTACAAGACAGTAACTGTTTATTGAATAAAAATCTGATTTTGGAGTAGTACTGAATAAAGAATATTCTGCCTAATTAAGGTTTCTATGTGTGAACACAGTTTTAAATTAGCAACAATTTTAAAACTGAGACAAAAAGCAAACACATATTTATTTTGTATAGATGCTTCTCTTTCTTTTATCTTTCTGTTGAAGCTACTATGCCCCATCTTGTAATCGCAAGGCTAAAATTATGGAAAAAAGACAAATTCCAAGTATGAAGTCAAAAAAGAAAACCAACCAGCCAAGCTTAAGTTTGGATGGAAATACCCAAACTGAAAGCATGAAGTGGTTAGTGTTGCAGTTTTCAGTTTCTTTCATGCAAAGTGGAGGTGACCTTGGCATTCTGCTAGTGACTAAAGCAATCACATGTATGTTTTTGCAAACATGCACAATACACATTTTCCCCTAGCAACCAGTGGTTGCCAGGGGGTCACTGACTAGTTTCTAAACCTGTGTGAGTGGGGCGTTATTCCCTTCACCCTACACTGTCACCATGACTGTCACATGTCCAAAATGGCGGACAAGTTAAATGTTACATGGCCAGCAGATTATCAGGGACAGCTATAAGAGGATGACATTAGTAACTATCTGAAGATGATGAGGACTTCGATACCTCTGTAGACACTCTGGCATTCTCCAGCTGGAGGCGTGTCCAAACAGCAGGGTGCCTGGCAACGAACCGCCAATCAGAGCACACCTCGGCTGCACGCAGCATTGAGCGCACGTCCAAATATGGGAAGATGCAAAAAAGGCCCGCCCTCAGCCGCAGGGTGTCTGCTACCAGCTGTCTGTCACCAAAGCAACGGGAGGGTGTGGAGCGGATGGAAGAGGGGGTATCTGGGTCAGGAGAGCAGAGTAATGAAAGGCAGAAGCTTTTATTGTGAAGCAGCCACAGGAAGTTTTGCATTAAAGCAGCCTGTAACAGCCAGAGGGGAAAAGAAAGACCACAGGAATGATGGGCAGAAATTATATACCTGATCCAGGTGTGTGTGTCCTGGCAAAGATGAGTCTCCTCATCTCAGCACTGGTCCACAGTTCCTCATCTTCCTCCTCTTCCTCCTCGTCTTCCTCCTCGGTGCTATGGTGACGAAAGTTTCTTTTCTTCCACGTTCTCCCCCATCCCTCTTCCGCAGTCCTGAAATCACAGCAGAAGAAAGACTTGCTCTTTAAAATTTTAAGCCCTGTTCAAAATAAAAGTCACAAAACAAACATCTGCATACCAGAACCTCTCCCTCCTCCCATCTTCTCCTCCTTCTCCTCTCTCTCGTTGAGTCCAGGGTTGGGCGTAGGGATTCGGATGGAGATGGGTTGATGCCGCCTCGCAGTTCCAACCCCCCGAACCCAGAGACGAGGTTCGCATTCGTCCAGCAAGACCACTTGATGACAGAAACCGAGAGGAGGTGTGAGCGTTTCACTGACACTGTAAACTCTTTGAAAGAGTCAGGTGTGTTCAGGTACCTGTAGCGATGGTGTCCATGCAGCTGCTCTCCCAGCCTGTAGGAGCTCGACACGCTATAACTCCTCTGGAAGAGCAGGATGAGGAAATGTTGAGTGAGACCTAACAAATTCCAGGTCCTGCTCCTCTCTATAGACAATACATACTCTCATGAATACTTTAATCAAAGATGTTTGTTTGTATTTCCCACCCTGTTTCCAATGGTTTCCTGCATCTTATTTGCAATGATGTCATCAGTGCTGCCATCCAGACTGCGTCCCCCTTGGCTCCGTGTAGGTTCGTAAACCTCAGTGAGCAAATAGGGCTCGGTGTATGCGTACCCGTCACTGTCTGGGAAGAGGTTGCGATGTTCGTGCGAGCCAAGCATCAGGAGCCGTCTCTCTGCGCAATCTGCTCGCTCCAGCAGTGTCTCAATGAACATCTGTAATCAAGCGAAGCACCACAACAGAAAGATTTTATCAGATTTGCTGACTTCTGTATGTTTACTGTAAGCTGCATCTGAATACCAAAGGTTTTTGATAGGAATTACTAACACACCCCACAATCATGAACTAACATGAAGTTGTAAGAGGTTCTCTTACACTATGAAGCACCAAGACATGACTAAAGAAAACTGAATTGAGTGGAATATCTCATTCCAGCTCTACAGTCCTTAGCATCGCCAGCAGCCAATGTCCTTGAGAAGAGAGGCTGTCTTTAGTTACAATTCAGGAAGAACAATGAGGTTTTCATCCTAGTCAGGAAGCACTGGACCAGCTCTTCTCAAGGATATTCAGGAATATGTGGGCGTTTGCCCAAGGCAATAAGACAGACTTGTGCTCAGTGGCTTTTGGACTTCACCAGGACATTACTGGACAGTCTGGCTCTGATGGCTTTATTGAGCAATGAGCTCCAGCATGGATCAGGAAATTGGACCTCAAAGTCTGAGGACAGGTTGGAAATGATCGCTACCCCAAGTGGAAGAGTTCAAGTATCTCGGGGTCTCGTTAATGGGTGAGAGAAGAAAGCAGCAGGAGATTGATGAATAGACTGGTGTGGCATTGCGGTGATGCAGACCCTGTACCGGTCTGATGTGGTGAAAAGAGAGCTGAGCATGAAAGTAAAGCTGTTGTTTTACATTACCACCCTCACATGTGGCCACAGGTTCTGGGTAGTGACAGAAAGAATGAGGTTTAGGGTCTCTGCCGTTTGGTTGGTACTCTGAGTAGAGCCGCTACTCCTCCACACTGAGTTAGCCTTTGACTCGGATGCCTCCTGGGACCCTTCTGGGTGAGGTGTTTTGGGCATGTCCAACTGAGAGGAGGCTCTGGGACAGACCCAGGACTGGCTGGAAAGCTGTAGTAGGGGAAGAGGACGAGGCAAACAAGGCAGGGTTTGCCTTAGAGCAAGTTTGATGAGTCACTTTTGGGTTTGTTATTGAAATCGAATATTTTGGGTATTTTTGTGAATGTCTTGTAGTTTTCCTTCCTTTGTGATTGTTCACGCCACTCGCATTAGTTTCACTGTGTGTGTGCACTGTTATCTGCACCCGTGTCAGTTAAATTTCTTGTTTGCGCTGCATGTGCACCCCCATGTTCCTCATGTTCATTGTGGGTCTCTTAACTCAGTGTGGGTTAAGATCCAATTTCAATGGATGTGTTTTAAAATTGTTTACAGTTCTAGTTTGAGTGACAACAGTGTTTGTGGGCCCACAGACTAAACAGCCTGGATGACACTAAGGCCTGAAAGGAGTCCTATGACAGATACTTACATATTTAACTCGCAATAGAATTAACATCTGTGCATTTTGCAGGAGTTTTCTTGAGTTGCCAACAAAAGCTTGCTTTTTGTATATTAACTCTGCCCAGTGTCCTTTATTTTCTCTCTGGAATCTGAACACGTTCTTGTACATGAACTCTATGATTTTGACCCAAACTCTAATCTAAAAATCTAACCAAACTATGTGGGAAGAAAAGGTTAAGTTAAAATATAAAGTATAATATAAAACTGTACAGGTTTTGAATGACAAAGGATTATTTCATAGACGAGTGCACATGCTGCATACTTGCCCCCCTCCAATACGTCGTTTCATGTGTAAATAACAGCCTCATCTTGGCCAACCCCACTATAAAAACTGTCGGGTTACCCTGTGTGAGCTGGGTCAGATTAATCTCACGCATCACTCTTGTCAAACAAATCAAAATAAACCACCCAGAGTTTAATTACAAAAGAACCAACAACAGAAGATCTCCTGCATCACCTGCAGCCTGGATTTGGCTTCGGCCTCTTTGTCTGCCGTCTCCCTCAAAAAATGCTCAATGTCCACCATCTCCCTGAAAAACACACACAGTTCAGAATGTACACGTTATTCAGTGACCCAAATGATAAATAAGTTAAGATAGACGGCACAAAAAACACGCAAAACAAACCGAGTGACCTCCCAAAAATACACACCCTCGGGCTGCTCTGCCTCATTGTCATCTTACATTTATCATCCCAGCAAACCGCAGCAGAGTGTGTGTGTGTGTGTGTGTGTGTGTGTGTGTGTGTGTGTGTGTGTTAGAGAGAGACAGAGAAAAACACAGAGTGAGGCAGATTAAACATGACGTGTCCTCTGCCTGTGCACCGTGTTTCTGTGCTCAGCGCGCTGTAGTTCCATGATATTACATTACATGCTGTTTGCTTCTGCTATTAGTGTTTCATTTTCCACAAACAAAAACTGACCGCACGACAAATTCTGCCACACTGCATCTACTGCTGCCAGAGGATACGAGTGCAAAAGATTTTAATGCCCAAAGCACTTCCTACTTGGTATTTAAATCTGACCCCATTCACCTCCACATACTTGCCTTACATTCTACACCAGAGTTCAAGTTTGCCACTGAGGGCTGAGTAAAATTAGCCAAAAACAACCTCAGCAGTTGCTGCCTGCAGTGCTTGGAGATCTATTACTGGATGAGTGTAGTACTAGAGGAAACTTTAAAGCTCGGTAAGATTTAGGTAAGCGCTACACTAAGAAAAAGTGTTTTTTTTCTATAATTTTCAGAAGAATTTATGGATGTCTTGGTCATTTTATTGGTGATAAATTGGAAAGGGACTCCAAACTTTAGTCCTTCATACAAAATAAAAAGGTGTGATATAAACAAATTAAAACACCCAACAGAAACTGGTTTTGTAGCAGGCTGCAGACATGTTTATTTCTGCTGTAAAGTTGGAAAATTTAACATGGAAGTCTATGGGCACTCATTTACTTTTACACCCTGCCCCAAGTGGACAATAGGGGAACTGCAGCCCTAAACTGCTGTTTAGTCTTTTCAACCTTGTCTATTTACAGAACAAGTTAAAAAATGTACACTATTTAAAATAAATACGTGAACATGTTAAACTTTTTACCATTGTTATTGTGATGACTAGTCCATAGAACATAGAAAAGTGGCTGATCATAAATGAATAATAACAATGGTGCAATGAAGAAAACTTTCATCTAAAAATGTCTTGTTTGTTCCATAAAAAGAGGGAAAATAAATCCTGAAAACACAGTTTTATCCACTAAACGTCCAGATACTGACTGTTGTCGTTTGCTCAGCTCCTTCTCTTTCCCTGTAAGATCTTTCTTTAATTTCTCCATCATCTCCATGGCAGCTGAGACCTGCAGGAATACAAAAATAGAACAGTGAATATACAGCGACTTCAAAATCGTGTTTAAAACATTGCTTAAAGCCCCACCCACCTGTCGGGACAGGTAGGCTGCTTTCTCTTCCACTTCCTGTTTCTCACTCCTGAGTCGTTCCTTGTCTCGCCTCGCCCGCTGTAGCTCCATCTCTCTCCTCTGTAGCTCTACTTTCAGTCGGGCCATGCGTCGGTTCACCCTCTCCTCAACCTCCGCGAAAGTCCGGGCGATTTTATGATCCAGCCCGAGCCCCAGTCGCTCTTCCAGCCCAATCTCCACCAAGCCTAGCTGGACCCTCACCTCTCCAAGGTTCTTCCCAGCAAAAAGATCCACAGATCCAGGAAGGGCCAGAGCAGTGGAGGGGCCTTCTGAATGTACCGTAGAGGAAGGCAGAGGGCAATCTGAAGCACTGAACATCTCCCTGAGCAGTTGGACGGAGGCAGATGATGAGGCGAGATCCAAGCAGGCCAGTGGCAGGGGCAGGCTTTGATGTTCCATGTCCAGAGAAGTGCTCTGACTTTGGGATACAGCTGGGCTAGGGAGTGGGAGGAGAGAACTGGTTCTGGAGCTTCTGACCCGAGCCTGAAACATTAGGACAAAGTTAATACTGGCACTGGTAACGCAGTTCAAGGGCTGATGACATTAAAAAAAATGTATTAGTTACAGGTGGAAGATCTGGATCATCTCAATGGTCTCCAAACAATCCTGTAAATCTTCCTTTCACTCTTGCTGCTATCGTTCATTCACAAATTACCCCTGACACTCTCCCCCCACTCCACCCTACCTGCACTCTCTTCCTCATCGCTCTTGTGCACTGTCTATTGCTTTGGATGGTTGACTCACCTTCACCTTCTTTTCCTCTCCAGAGCATACCTCCACCTCTCCCTGCTCAAACTATAGAACACAGTGTCATCTGCAAACATCAGAGTCCACAGAGACTCCCGTCTGACTTCCTCTATCTTCCTCTACCTGTCTATCATAACTCTAAATAAGGGGGGGTAAAGCCAAACCCTAATGTGGTTCCACCCACCTGCCACTCCTACTGTCTCACTGTCTTCAAATGTGTCCTGCACCGCTTTTAGAATGCAAAGAACTAAAATATTCTCAATAAAATGAAGGAGAAGAAACGAATAACACTGGTATAAATTTCATGGGTGTCACAAACTCACAATATTAGTTACATCCCTGAGTTTATGATGCTGACATGAGGATCAGAGAGGTGATGCTTGACAGAATTCACATAAATCTAAACAGTTTAAGAGTCTTAATTATTTAGAAAAATAAAAATAAAAGCCTGTGTTTGTTTCTATTCACAAACCATGCACTAACCAGATTAACTGTCAGACACAGCCACTTATTTTCTTCGTTGCAATAATCTGGTCAGTTTTTCTCCCTTTCTAAGGTCTGACACGACCTCACTTCTGTGTGCAAACAGCACGAACATCCACCGATCTATGGTTTATTTTTGCAGTCCTAGCATGATCAGTTATGACCAGGCAGATTATGTTGGGAATTCAACCATGTTTGCTAGGAAATTAAAGCTACCAAAGTCATGTATTGTTGGCTAGCTTCATTACCAGCAGGTGTCAAACAGAAACAGAAAATCTTAAATCTGAGAGGCTGAAAAATGAAACAGACAACATCAGTTTGTTTTAATGTAGAATAACTAATGAGTCTCTGTAGCTCCATATAGCTGCTTTCCATCCATATTCCGTATTCACCGGGTGATGTCAGACAGATTTCCCAATCAGATCCATTATTATGTGTCCAAATTGCAATCGTTTCCACGATGTGGCCTCTGGGAGGACACATTATTTCTTTGTTCCACATGACAGTAAACTCAAATCTCTTTAGTTTGTCACATATCATGAAATCTTCCACAACAAAAGTACTTTAGCAGTTAACCAGTCGTGAAAATGATCATTTGCTTGGTTACCTGGGAGAGCACCAGCAGGGTCTCGTAGGTGTGTCGGCTGACCAGGTGCGCCCGGAGCTCAGCTACAGATGAGAACCGAAACCCATCCCCGCAACGAGGACAGAAGTAGGGCAGCTCCATGGAAGAGGAGGAGGACGAGGAGGAAGACATGATTCACGAGGAAGCAGCAGACCTGGAAGAAAAGATATGAGCTCATTAGAGAAAAACAAAGAGACTGCAACGAGATAGTAAGAGTAGAAGAAGAAACACACAGAGTAAACCGGAGTGAAAACTGGGTCAGAGTGCGTGTGAGCTCTACATAATTGATTCTATGCAGATGAAGATGTAACGAGGCTCAGACCTGAACATTAAAGACAGCAGAACACGTGTGTTTGATTTATTCTTCACGGATAAGCCGGATCCATGCTGGAGCATCACATGCGTGTCCTGTGGCGAGCTGCTGGGTCTGATGTTAGTGGGGCGCATGTGTGTGTTTGTTTCTGTGAGGCAGCAATCTTTCACGCCGCTGCTCCGACCCGTGCAGAGGAATTTAAGCACGCATGGATGAGCAGGAAGAAAGAAACGTCTGGGGCGTGGAGTCTCTGTGTTCGCCTACTTCAGCCTCCTCTTCCTCTTTCCATGCCCTCCATTCAGGAGTTTTTATTTGGTAAGGACTACAGCGAGGGGCTGCTGCATTACAGTGACTCGCCTGAGAGCTTATACAAATACAGAAGAAGAGCAGATTTGTGCTTTAAGCAGCACAAATATGCTCTACCTCTGTGTGCCACAGAGGAGGATTTGTTCACAGTTCAGTTTTTACATTTGTTTTAAGGGACTTATGCAGTTACTGAATGTCCTTACACTCACAAACAAATTGGTGTGGAGGCCTTTGATGATTAAATTTATGTCACTCAGACCAACACCAGCATAACAAACAAAAATGTTTGAGTCACCAAATCAAAATCATGAGATAAAACGTAAAAGTGATCAGAAAAATTAAAGCTTTAAACATACAGCAACATTTTTAAATGAAAACTGAAACTGAAAGAAAAGTATACATTTAAGAACTAACCACTAAGAAACTTAGAATTTTGAGATATTTTGACATAAAAAGTCTAAATTATGCCACTAATTATGCTGCTATTCATACTGTCATTATATTAATGCTGCTATCCTGTATATATCGTACTTACTATTGTTTGAGTACTTGTGATTGTTTTATTTTACTTTTTATATTTTACATTTATTTTTATTATTGAATCTTGCACCAAGGGAGTGGCACTCCAATTTCGTTGTACTCTGTACAATGACAATAAAGGCTATTCTATTCTAAAGAGTCAAATTATGACGCAAAAATGTCAAAATTGGAAAATTAAAACTTAAAACGTTTAACCTAATAAGTGAAAAGGTAAGCAAAACAGTCTAATTAATTAAAATATAAATAAAATAATACATTACAAAGAAAGGTCAAAATAAGAAATTAAGTAAAATTAGTTCTGTGATGAAAAAAATATAAAATGTAAATATATTTTTTAAAAAACGTGAAAAATATAAAGAAAATGTTGCTATAATGTATCATTATAAAATGTAAACATAAAAAAACTAACAATGATGTAAAATCAAAGCTTTTAGAAAAAAAAAAGTCAACACTAACAAATGACAGATTGGTCAGAACTATTTTGGAAAAGTTTGATTTGTGACACGAGAAAACTTTAATTCATGAATTGAAAAAATGAGACCTGAGCACAAATCAAAGAAAACACTGTCGAATGACCTGCAGCATAAAGTATGAACACTGGACAGGGTTTCACTGATTAATCAGCCCGCCCACTCTGTGTCCAGCTGTTAGAGTACAGCTTACATTACAGCTTTTATTACGTAAAAGAACGTAAAAGTTGAGCCACACAGACAGAAACTGATAGATTATTCGAACATCTGCCTGCAGCTGTGAGGAGAACGAGCTGCTCTTCGGGTTCTTACCGAAATATCGAGACTGATGACAGCTTCTGTGCTGCCACACACACGCGCGAGCGCCCGGTTCACCTATCAGTACCCGTGACAATCGATCCGCGGATGTCTGGTCCTCGCGCTGCCTGAACCCACCCTTATCGACCGCCTGCTTCACTCAACCCCAAAATCCCGTTGCCATGGTTTCCCGGTTCTTCCCAGTTCCCCTCGGATCGATGGTCCATCATCCCGGTACCGACCACGTTTTATCGTGCAGCAGCAGCATTGCACACGGAGCGAATGTGTGCGTGTCTGTGTGTGTGCGTGCAGTTGCTGACGTAGAGAACGCGTGATGTGGGCCATGATTGCCAAGGCTCTCTGGTTTCACACATTTGTGTTTTTATCGTTCAGATTAGACTGAATTGGACATAAAAGCATGAACACGGCGACGCGCGCGAGGCGATCTGTAGATAATTTGATATTCATTAACACACATCCACTGCGCGGGCTTCAGTGTGTCTTTGGAAGTCACGGAAACGGTGTCCTTCTCACGGCGTTCAGACCACTTTTTTTTTTCAACTGAGAATCAGTTCACTTCTTCACCCCTGTAACCAAGGAGACACGTGTACTCCAAAACATCTCTCCATAGAGGAAGAAAAAAAACAACTTCAAGCATCATGGGAATGTTTCAGAGTCTTCCAGCTCAAAGCATCCTTAATTAAAGTCATTTGTGTAACGTAGAAGGAGTGCAGTGACACAGTGTTTATTTTATGAGTATATTTGGTTTCACCGACAAGTTTTATTCTCCCAGAGTGACACTGCTGGTGTTTCTGTTTGTCCGGGGGAACTTTTCATACCACAGAAATGACAGAATGGGCTTCGTGCCGCTTTTAATAAGACTGGAAATAAATATCTGTGTTTTATACATAAGCAGCAGCCTGCCATCATCATCATCATCATCATCATCATCATCATCATCATCATCATCATCATCATCACTACCCAGATTTCACTGTAATAACTCCAGCCACCAGCCAGTTCCTCTACAGAGTGTCTGACCTTTAACCCTAACCACAAGCAGAAAGAATCAATTAAGAGATCTGTTTTCCCAGTGGAACTGATTAACTGATTAGGATGTCAAACACAGAACAGTCCTGCTGGATGAAGATGTTTGAATCACTGAAACTCCTCCGTGTGAAGTTTTGTTCTGTAATCTGTAATCATGTTGAAATTTCATCATAAGATGGCTCCCTGTACAGTCTATATGACCACAGAGCGACAGCAAGACTACAAGTTTGTGGATATTAGGTGGTCTCTGTTTTGCAATCTGTGTAAAAGGTATTTTTTGTGACACATTCTTTTGTGCATGAGTGTATTATTTTTTCTGCTTCTGTGATAATGTGGTGGTCACTGGAGGGCGCCAGAATCCCGCGGCCTTCAGGAAAAGCTTTTATCCTATTTAGTTTGCAGTGGAGGCCAAAGATCTCTGAAAGCAAACGTGTGTTTCCAAATGGCCTGTATTTATATGGCCTGTATTTATATAGCGCTTTTACTAGTCCCTAAGGACCCCAAAGCGCTTTACATATCCAGTCATCCACCCATTCACACACACATTCACACACTGGTGATGGCAAGCTACATTGTAGCCACAGCCACCCTGGGGCGCACTGACAGAGGCGAGGTTTTAGTATCAGGGTTACAATTTGGTTATGTTTAGGTTTAGGTATTCAATTTTGATGGTTAGGGTAAGCGACTAGGGAAAGCATTATGTCAATGAGATGTCCTCACGAAGATATGAAAATGAGTGTGTGTGTGTGTGTGTGTATGTGTGTGTGTGTGTGTGTGTGTGTGTGTGCCTGTGTGCCTGTGTGTGTGTGTGTGTGTGTATGTGTGCGTGTGCCTGTGTGTGTGTGTGTGTGTGTGTGTGTGTGTGTGTGTGTGTGTGTGTGTGTGTGCCTGTGTGCCTGTGTGTGTGTGTGTATATGTGTGTATATGTGTGTGTATGTGTGTGTGTGTGTGTGTGTGTGTGTGTGTGTGTGGGAGAGAGAATAAGACTGGGTAAAACTGCTGTTCCCATAGCAACATGACCTTCACTGTTCAAAAAAGTGTTGGCAACAGAAACCTGTTGATGCACGGAAAACAGAGAAATCTGGAGAAACCCGAGAACGACTGAAGTGATGATGCATAGATAAGTCATGAGGAAGATGAAGGTGATAAGTTGGTATAATAATTACTGTTAGGTTTTGTATTGTTGATTGTCATTTATGCTTAGAAATATCTACTTATATATGCTTAGAGTTTTATAATTAGTTTTAGATTGGTAGAGGTTTGATCCTTAATAGTCTGCAAACTTTGTGTGTATTCCACTCTGGAATGCACCCCTACATCCTGGGAGCACGGGAAGAGGTCGTACCTTGTTTTATTGTTTTATGGCAGGATTAACGTAGTTGGGTCTAAGTGCCTTTTACATATAGATGAACTGTTGGATTTTCCAGACCAGCAGGTTAAGGGAAGTCGTTTATGGGGCCACACTCTGACCCCCCCCCACACACACACACACACACACACACACAAAGGCAAGGTACTCTTCGTTTGTATGTAGACGTCATATGTTCAAGGTCAAGGTTCTTTATTATTTGTCACATGCATAGTTATACACACAGTGAAATGTAGCCTGACACGCTCCTCGACATGTGCAAAAAATTGGGGGGGGGGGGGGGGGGGGGTAGAGGAAGAACATTATATATATATATAGTATATACACTGGGTGAATGTGCAGTAGTAGCAGCAAGCAGGTGAATTCTGTACATTAATATGAATAGACATCTGACTATTTTACAGGATAGACAATATAAACATATTTAAAATTAAAGGAATTGAAATGTACATTGTGCCTGGGTTTAGTGTCTGGAAGAGTCCTGTCTCAGTCAATTATAGATGATGTGAGAGGGCGGGTGTGTGTGTTTAGGGCACGGATGGCTTGGGGATAGAAGCTCCTCTTGAGTCTCTCTGTCCTTGCCCGGAAGATGCGGAACCTTCTACCAGATTGCAGAAGTTGGAACAGTTTGTTCCAGGATGGGACGGGTCCTTCAGTATCTGCGCTGCTCTAGTCCGGCATCTCCTGGTGTAGGTGTCCTGAAGCGGGGGGAGAGCAATCCTGCAGCAGCGTTCTGCTGTACGGATCACTCTCTGGAGAGCTTTTTGGTCCTTCACACAGCTGTTCCCAAACCACGATGTCATGTTCTGTGTGAGGATGCTCTCCACAGCGCCTGTATAGAAAATCCTGAGGATCTTTGGAGAGACCCTGAACTTCCTCAGTTGTCGTAGGTGGTACAGGCACTGCCTAGCCTTTTTGGTCTGGACCTGAATGTGGGCAGCCCATGTCAGGTCTGAGGAGATGTGGACACCAAGATACTTGAAGGACTGCACCCTCTCCACTGGAGCTCCATTGATGATAATGGGCTTGTAGTCTCTGTGCTGACCCCTTCTGAAGTCCACCACCAGCTCCTTGGTCTTGCTGACGTTCAGCTGGAGGTGGTTGTCCTGGCACCATGATGCCAGATTCTTCACTTCATCCATGTAGGCCGCCTCATCGTTGTTGGAGATGGCACCCAACACCACTGTGTCGTCAGCAAACTTCACAATGGTGTTGGAGCCATGGGTGGCCACACAGTCTGAAGTGTAGAGGGAGTAGAGCAGTGGCGTTAATGACCCTATGCATATTCATTTAACCACAATAAAAGGAGTGCTATGGGGAACCTGGCTGAGAGTCTGATGGAGATCAGGTGGTGGAATGACACTTGGCTCCAGGCAGGTCTCCCTCATGCATGAGTAACACGAAGAACTTTGCCTACTTGGTGTTCAATGCTTTTGCTGTGTTTTTAAATTGTCTCGTTCCAGCGGTGGGCCTGTGCTAGACAGACCCAACAATTACCATTTAATTGGTGTGAATTGTGGACTTAATCGTATTAAGTGGCTGCTAATACAGTGGTTCCCAAACTTTTTTTTGCTGGGCCCCCCTTTGTTTTACACGAAAAACGTTTGCCCCCCGCGCGCGCACACACGCACTAACACATCCTCCCACCACACACACCCATATTTTGCTCCACACCTCAAATATTTAGTAAACAATTAAGCAAATACAAGTAACCAGCAATAAATGACAGGTAGTAATAAAATAAACTACTAACTCTTTTACGCTACGTCCGCACCTACACGGGTATTTGTGAAAACGCAGCTGTTTCGTCCACACGTAAACGACGTTTCAAATCACCGAAAACTGTGATTTTTTAAAACTCCTTTTTTGTGGTTTACGTGTGGACGAGGAATACAGAGTTCGTCTGGTATGTGCCTCTTTTCACATCACGCTGTGCGCCACTTATTGTTTACATGAGATGAATTGCAGAATGGCAGAGAGAGACGAAATACTGTTACTGTTAATCTGACTATCCTCAGGTTTTACAGGCAGTTACTGTCTCTCCATTTACAGAGGCAGAGGCGTCACCGTGTGATTATTTTACTATTATTATTATGATTATTTTACATGTAGTTGGGGGTTTTTCTTCTGTGTAATAATATTCAACATTGCTATCAATACATTTTTTTAAAAAAATGCCTCTCTGTGCAAAATGGGTTTAAAAATATAAACAGCTGTGGGATACTGTTTGTCCGTGATTTGAACCGGGGTGACAAATCGTGGCAGGATCAGCCTGATGTTATTTGTATCCAGCTGTAACTTTACTGTATAAAGAGCTAACGTCTCCAAAATGTCAGGAGTAGTTAGTCGTTACAACAAGTGTTTGTGAACTAAAAATCAATAATGTGGGATACTGTTTGTCTGTGATATGAAAAGCCCAGCGCTGCTCCCAACGAAGGGAAAACCAATCCCGCAGGGGAGACCTACCTCGGCACTTGTGCAGGTGAAACCAAAGAGAAGATATGCTTCAGCAGATTTTCTAGTCTTTGGCTTGGAAGATAGTTTGTTTGGAAACATATTCAGCAATGCTTCACCTCCTGCTTTGCATTTCTGTGGGAGCCCCGTGCTAGCAGTGTCCAAGAGTTTTGTTTTTTTTCTTTTTTCATGCCATGGCTCTGCGCCCCCCCTAGGGGGCGGGCCCCACACTTTGGGAAGGTCTGTGCTAATAACACTTAAAAATGCTGATAAAGCAGAACAACGGAGGACCGGGCTGAAACTCAACCTCCTTTTTAAATGAGTA